TTGTCTGATTTTCCAACATAACTAATAAGATATGGATTGAGATACATGCAAACAACTAATTTAAATACAATTGAAATTCAATAATTTGATTATCATTCAAATATAACTTAGGGTGATCCAATCTTTTGGTCCGTTTACAAGTTTATAAGTGAGCCTCGCCAAAACCCTACCAAAAGGAAGATCAGAGTACTATTATTTGGGTGGTAGCTAAGAAAGTAACTACATATGGGGGCCAAGGTTGGAGGGTAAATTTGTTGCAACAGGAAGCCCCAGATACAAACATACACAGGTACCAAATTACCTACATGCAAGTCACTGTCTTCCAAAGAATCCCTCCCACTTACCATGTTCTATGAATGAGATTGATTGGGCAAAAACAGAATAAAAAAATGAAAACACAGGAGAGGGATTGTAAAGGCCCGCCACCATAGACCCCCCAAAAACACAGGACAGGGAATTTCTATTCAAATTTTGGTGGTATTTTTTCTCTCTCTCATTTTGTTCAATGACTCTGACTGCGGCTTGGTTTGGCACATGAAGGCCATGTTACACTTGCCCCAAAACTCTCCTGTAAAAACAACAACGTAAGGACCTGATGATGATCGCTTATATGACATCATTTCCAACTGCTTCAAACCGCTCTCTCTCTCTCTCTCTCTCTCTCTCTCTCTCTCTCTCTCTCTCGCCAATTCAATTACCCAAAAAAGATTACTTCAACCGTAACTGTATATAGTTGGAAGTTGGAATATATATTGTTGATGCACAAAATTAGTGAAGATTTTGGAACAGCGTAAAATGTTAAATTGGTGACCTTCGCTCGGTTGCCCCGGTCACTAATGAGGATAAATATGTAAAGAGATAGAGATAGGGAAGCAAACACAAGATGTATATGATTCACCCTAAGTTTGGCTACATTCACGGAGTAGAGGAGTTCTCATTAATAGTGAAGGGTTTACACAAATACATAGGTTCAAGCATAATCATCATTAGTGAGTTCTAATGACTAGTTTAAGTACAATAACGACATTAGGGATTCATTGTAGGAGAATGGTCTTCTTTTATAGTTGAGGAGAGCCTCCAACTTTTGTTCGTGGTTGATGTGGGAATCTATGAGCTTTATTCTGACGTTGACATGTGTCGTGCTGTGATTGGCCCCCTGGTTGGAGGAAAACTCTTATACTTCAGCAAGGGTGCCTCAGCATGAACCCCTCAGTGGATCCTTGAAGGTATAAAGTTGACTGATACTTGGTAGTTTTGGGATTGATCAAGTATGGTACAAACATATATGTTATGAGGTATTGCCTTTTTCCATTGGCTCTCTTAGTTAAAACTTGGTAAGAAAATGAGGTCATGTTGAACATTAACCAAAAGATCCCAACTATTATAGAGCAAGAGCAACTAAACGAATAAACAAAAAAATGCCGACATCAGACGTTGCTCGGTTGGTTAAAGTAATGTATTTCTGCCACTGTACCTAAATTTGAATCATTGCCAGAGTAGTTTTGGAGTAGATTAAAATATTGTTCGAAAGATAAAAATTGAATAAACAAAGACATTGACACCCATGTGGGTTGTAAGCAAATGCTTTAACAATGAAGCCTGAAGAGGCAGCATGATGCATTTTGATGGTGGTGATGATGTCAGAATACATGGTCTCATGGGTTGTTCAATAAGAAGCTTAATATATCATAAACTTACTATAAATAAACACATGGAAACATAATTAGTCAAAGAATATATATGAAATATGGTTTATATCCATATCCATCTGTATTTTCAAAGTATAGATAGGATCAGAAGATTAAGCACCTGATGCTGATGTCATCAAGATGTAAATTGTGGTATGAGTTCACATCCCATGTGCACAAGAGTATGGGGAAATGAATAGTAGAGGGAGAAAAACTCAAGTAGAGGTGTCTGATCATGTTATTTGTAGAGCATTTTTTCATAGAAAAAACATGAGATCCCTTTATTTAAACATCACGCGGCCCCACATGATCCCATCAAATGTGAAAGTTTCTCTAGTCAGTCGACTCTGCTAAGTATCTTGTCTAGAATTGGCAAATAGAAACTTCACTATAGGTGCCAACAACAAATACAAAGGGGGTGGATGAGACCAAATACAAGTGGAAATGTTGCTTTGTGTAAGTGAGAGTTGTCATAGTTAAACAATACTATTTTGTAGCTGGGCTGTGTGACATCACGCTGGCATTAGCATGACGTCACAGCCCGCTATAGATTTTTTTTTTTTTTTTTTTTTTGCCTTAGGCACATGGGAAACATGCGCGACTGGGTGCAATTTCCTGACCAAAAAAAGGCGACGGGGCCCGCCGTTGCAGTGCACTAATTGGTACCAGGTGAATGGTCATGTGGCTTGTTCTAGGCCGTTGGATTTCCAAAGGCTAGTTTTCTAGGACTGTTGGATTTCCAACGGTAACAAAAATTTGAAATTCAAATCTAACGGCTAGTGATGTGGCTCGTTTTGGGTTGTCTGATCCCAAGATCAATAGTCCATGATTTTGTCCAAAAAAACCAAACGGTCAGAATTATGACCGTTGGCCACGTGTCCACATTTGGGCTGTTGGATTTGAATATTTTCAAATCCAACGGTCCAGATTAATTAACTTAATAAAAATTAATAAAAAATTATTAAAAATTGTTTAAAATACAGAAAAAATTTTAAAAAAAAATTATTATTTTTCTATAAATACATAACCATCAGCTTCCACCTTACACTACATTTCAATATTTTCAACACTTTCAACCAAAGCTTTCATATACTTTTTTGTGAAAAAAATGGTTACATGGAAGCTCATCAAAGATGTTACGTTATGTCAATGTTGGGTTCAAATTACTCATGACCCTCTTACGGGTAATGAGATGGAGTTGCGAGAACACTGGAGATTGGGCCAGGACATTATGGTCATTTTGAGCTCCTGGAACACTAAAAAAAGTATGCCAAATCCATGTATTACATGAAGCCACTGCTTCCAAAATGATACTTTTGGCTCATTTTCTATCGCCATAAGCTCCTTGCCACGCATTTGGACAATTTTTCTAGGTCCAGTGCATGCAGTTGATGCTTCCAATCATGCCAGGAAAGCCTCGTATGTCACCCTTCTTCAGAAGCCTTCGCAGGTCCCTTGGCGTGGGTTTTTGGAGGTACTCATTGGTGTATAGGGCTTCGATTGCAGAGCAAAACCGCATCAGGGACTCTAGAATAGTTGATTTTCCCATCCTCACTATCTTATCCACTTAATCTGAAGATGCTCCATATGCAAGCATCCGCAAGACAGCTGTAATTTGTTGCTTAGGAATAAGACCTAGAACATGAAAAACATCCTTTTTTTGCACAAAGTATGGATCATGGTTGCAAATAGCACTCATGATTTTGTCGAGCGAACTTCGTTGCATTCTAAAACGGCGTCTAACAGTATGATCAGGGAATAAACTGTTGGAGATAAAATAATATTCCAAGAGATCTTTACCTCGTCTTTCCTTCTTTTTATTCAAGTTTGTGGCACTGCCTGGATTTGGATATCTGACCCACAAGTTCCATGACATGACGGGAATGTGAGGCTCTCTACCTTCTATGTTCATTATCCTCATTCTCTTCCATTGCGAAAGCCTCATCTTCGCCTTCTTTTAGATTGAACAATTCTTCCTGTTGTGCCAACAATTTTTCCTGTTACTGATCGATTTCATACAATCTCTTTGAAGAAGACATTGTAAGAACTCAAGATTTAAAAACGATGAAGAAGGATTTTGAGCTAAAACAGAAGAATTGAGTTTGGTGTATGAATGAGGATGGATGTAGGGTTTATATGGACAAAAAAAGAAAGAATGAGGTTCTGGACAATGCCACGTGGCACTACGTGATTGGTTGAAAATTTTATCGAAATCTTGGCTAAATTATTGTAAACATATAGTGACACGTGGCATATTGTAATTGGTTGAAAGTCTTATCGGAAATCTATCCACAAAATAGTACATTCGGATATGGTGTAACAAGATTGGTTGAAAATCTGATCGAAATCTTGACTAAATTATTGTAAATAGATAGTGATACGTGGCGTATCAGGATTGGTTGAAACTCTTAGCGGAAATTGAAACTCTTAGCGGAAATCTATCCACAAAATAGTACTTTCGGATAATGACATGTGACGTGACAAGATTAATTAAAAATCTTATCCGAAATTAAAACTAAATTTTTTTATTTATTATTTTATAAAAAAATTAATAATATTTTAAATAGGTTGGATGCCAACACATTTTGTTGGGATGGAGATGCATTTGGCCAATTAACTGTTCATTGGAGTCAATCACTGTTCATTGAGTGGATTAAATAGGCTGGGTGCCAGCGCATTTTTTTAAAGGTGGAGTTGTTCTTAGTCAAACAATCCTATTTCATAAAAACACACCCTGAATATGACATATAGCTAATCAATAAAGTGTTCCCTATCTTTAAGAAAACGAGAATTACTTAGGCTATAACCTACACTATACGAAGCCTAGATTCAGCGGGATATATGTAAGTATGAAGAGAATTATTTTTTGGGACCTAACTCAGCAACTTTGACAGGATTTGTGAGGGTGAGAGTAAGGACGGCTCCTCACCTGATATGTTCAAAACAAAGAATGGCAAACGACCATTTAGTTTTCAATTTTCAGTTTTCAAGAACTCGTCGCCGTTTGTGTTGCAATTCCTATGCCCAATCCCCACAGAAAACTTCAGATTGAAAAGAAAATTGATTAAGATGATATCTTAATGCTGAATGCACAAGCCATACCTAAAATCAAACGCCTCAATTTTCATACCTAGTCTATTCTCTTCATATGTACTTTCAGATAACTAACACCGACAAGTTGAACAATCAATGTTAATTGTCAAAGTAAACAAAAATCCTCTCTTTTCTTGACATAAAAGATATAAAAGATTACCGATACATGCGGCGTTGCAATGAAGAAGACAACAAATTAACGTGAGAGAGAGAGAGAGAGAGAGAGAGAGAGAGAGAGAAATAAAAAGAGAACGTAAAAAAAAAAAAAAAAAAAAAAAAAAAAAACTCCCCATAGCTGAGAAAATACATGTAGGTCACTACATTTGTGTGCCACCATGTGCGTCTGCTGCAAGTCATTTGAATGAATTACCAGGAACCAATTTGGAACTGAAATCTTCATAAATCTGCAGGACAATGTACAGTCACTGGTCGGAGACAGAATTCACTTGTTGATGCTGCCCCTCTTGTAGAGTTATCTCTCTTCGAAATTTAGCAATATGAGTTTGAACCTAACACAAAGACATTTGACACCAGATGTTAATAAAGTTACTTAAGCATTTTCTATCACGATAAGTAATTTTCATATCTCAACTAGAGTAACCAAACTTATGGTATACATTACTGCCGACTAATGCCAAAACGTCAAATATGTTCCAGATCTCCACAACATGTGATTCATCTCAATAAATCCTTGCAAGATTCAGGATTCATAAACCTACTCAATTCTAACCTATTTCAGATTTCAATGGTTAATAGCAATGAAATCACAGAATTTGATCATGATAAAGTCAATAAACATGGAGACACAAAATAGGTATTTACTTCTCACACACCTCTTGTTAATTTATGTCCTTTGATCGTCTTCAATTCATTTGATCCGACAGCCGAAAGTTAGAAGGGTGTGTGAGAAGTAAAAATGGGTTGTGTGAATATCACACCCCTTATCACAAATGCTTAGACTGGTTCAGGAATTTCAGAATAACTTAAACAACCACTATAGTTGTCATGAGAATTACTTTTCCTATAGAAACTTGACTCATCAAAGGCCTTCTAACTCAACATGGCAGGGTCGAACTACAAAAAGTAAAAACTTTTGTGGAAGTTTGGCGACCTATGAGACTTATTCATCTTTTGATTAGACCAAGGGTTGCAAAAAAGAAACAGTGTATTTCCCTGCCGTAATTGTCAGTCTGTTTCTTTACCCTCCCTCGTAGTGTACATAGACATAGGACGGTAGCATGATCGAATGGCTAAAGATCTTTGCATATAATTTGTCCTTTTTGGAGACACTTTATCAGAACTCACTGGGAGAAGAAAGGTAGTCCTCTCTTAACTCACTTGAGAACCCAGTCAATCCATTCAACATATACTTAGGACGTGTTTGGGAAACTAAAGAATTGGTTTAGACCAGTTCTACATAAAACCTGATAATTAAAACAACTTAAATCTGAACTAGTTTTGAATGTTATTTTAGGTCTGTCTTGGCTCTAAATTACAATTTTGGTTCACTATTTTCTACATCTTAGCCCACAACAGTTCCACAGACAAGATTATAGTTTCTGAGTACCAAATACTGTTCAATTTAAAAAGCCCTACTAAACATGGTTGGGTGGTCTTTAGGTTTTACAGAGCACACCCTAGGATTCAACATTGTACCCCTGTATCTCTGGGGATATATTTAAACATCCGTTAGTTTAGACATTGTTACACTAGTTTGGACACTACAATGATCAGATAGAGAGCAACGGTCTATTGGCTAAATGTTTTCGATTGACGCACAACGATTGCTTACTGAAAATTTTCCTATGAAATCCCTTAACAGCTCTTAGAACATGAAAGCCCTATTCATTTTCTCTAAGCATACTGGGCTCAAGTTTGATGTTTTCTTCACTAGCATATCGTAATGATTTTAAGTTCATACTTATCAAAAATACATGTAAAGTTGCGGTAGAGACATGACTGCAAATGGGTAAAGGGCAAGTGTTGGGAGGCTGAAGTTTGGGGTTTTGGGCTTAGGTTAGAAGGGGAAAAGGGCATCTCTCGTCATATTGTAGAAACACATTCAGTTAGTTTGGTGAATTTGATGCAGCAGGATGGTGTTGACAGGTTTCATCCTCTAGCTTCTCTTTTAGACAGCTACCACGAGATATTGTCTTAATTCCAGCAATATAAACTTATGCATATTTATGGGAGAAGAATGCAGTGGCTGATGCTTGCTAATTGGAGCTACAACATTGATCCGGGATTGTGCCTCCTTGAAGATCCTCCTGTGTGGGTTGGCGATGTCCTAAGTGATGACTTGTTGGGGATTACCAAGTATCGGGAAGTTTGTAACTTAATTTAGTTTTGTTTGTTGGGGTGTTTCACCCCACCCCCACCTTACCCCCCCCAAAAAAAAAAAAAAAACGACTGCAAAAGATGGATAGAATTCCATTCAATACATAAATGAGAACGGTGAAATACTTCTAACAAATTTTTTTGGAGTTTGTGCCTTACCTACTAAGCGGGTCGACTGTATGAATCCTAGAGCGCCATTGCGCTCGGGTTTGCGCCAATTCAATCCTAGACACTAATATATGCAATAAATTGCAAAAGGATTTTCCACAAAGAAATTAACTGGACAAATATGTCAGTACATAATCTAAAAAACCACATATGGTTTTTCCACGAATACGCACATATGACAGCTCCTCACAATCACAAAATTTGAAGTTCCACAAATATATCCAGAAAATATGAGATAGACTAATGCTTACCTGCTGCTGAGCTGTTGCAACTCGTAACAGTTCATCTGCTTCTGAAAAGTTCGTGAACCACTGGCATAGGGGATGATCTTTAGTGTCCCCTCTCTTTCTGTTACTTGGATCCTCAACTGGCACTACATGCAACGAAAAGGAATAATTTACCACCCACAACATGATCAAGAGAAATTACAGACAGCACAGCATAACTAATTTATACCAGGAGGAGGCAAAGCAACACCAGCAGGTAGTCTGGGAATGACTACAGCTGGCTGATTCTGCACACGAGCTAAGAATGCCTCTGAAGGCTCAGGGAACACAATTTCATCATATGATTCCACAACAACAGGCTTTTTAGTTGACATAGGACCGGACTCATCCGCTGGGTACAACTTCAAATGATGAAATCTGTGAAAAAGCTCAAGATCAAATTCTCCTCACAATGATGGGCACCCATAGTACCAAATGCATGCTAAAATGAAAAACAGCTTGTTGGTTGTTTCCAATCAAATGTAAAATCAAATTATATCAAAGCATGTAACAAATAATCAAACTCATTGTTTGAAAAATTGATCTCCCAATTAAGCACGCTAGAAGGTTAAGTGAAATATAGTTTCCACATATAAAGCAGGATGTGTCGCTCGAAGGTTTTTTTAACTACTCAGATAGACAATGAACATATCGATGTTGGAAATTAAAAGACAAAGTTGCTTCTCTCCAGCTAGGTTTAACCATTTAAATATACTATTCCATAGTTGAGGACTTGGTACAAATGCAAAGAACACAGACAGTATCAAACACAAAACTAGACAGCCAAATGCCAAGTAAATCACATAAATTTAATATTCAAAGCAACTCACAAGTTTAATGGCTTATCACAAACATCACTGTGGAAGAAAAGCTGTAATGGCGATTTCAAATTCACCCCAGCCACATTCTGACAATTCAAATGGTGGCGACTCAACAACCCTTGTGGGATTATTGAAACTGGAATGCAGCTGAAAAACAGCACGTTTTATCACCACTCCAAGATCCTCATTGGTTGCCCCACGAACGTACACAGTCCACTTGTGTGATTGGTACCTAATTAGATATCACAAAATTAACTCTGATATTCCAGTCCTCATGTAAGTAATTCAACAAGCCAATAAATCTACCGCCATTAAAACAATACTTACTCGTTCGCCTTCTTACCGAGCCAGAATGCAATATTGCCATACACTATCGGAACACTAATCTCAACATCTTTGAGTTTCTTATGAAAAATCTACACAAAGTTACATGAAAAGCAATACAATGAAAAAAAAAAAAAAAACTACAATTCAAATTTAAATTCTGGTAGTTAGAATGCTGGGCAAAAATTCAAATTCATAAACAGAACAGTTAAAAGATTTTTTTTTTTCTTTCAAAAAGTCCAGTCTCATGATCCATAACAAGGCACTAAACACATTATACATTGGGAAATCAAATCAATCTCAAAACAGAGTCTTGAAGTTGCGGATCAGAACTATTTCCAAAAGCACTTCTGGGTATCTGGCTAACCTTGTTTTGGTAAATTAGGAAGTGGGTAATAGTAAAAATTTGAAATTGAACAAGAAAGTTACCTTCTTTTCACTGTCTTCCGGTTTGCCCATTTTCGTGCGCAGAGATTTAGGCGCAGGCGCAGGCCCACTTATTTCAGGTTGATCTGGACCGTGCATTGTGGAAGAGGAACCATTGTTCATGTCTTTGTGAAAAGCACTTTCTTCTGTGGCGCAATCAAGAAACTAGGGTTTCTTCCCGCGAAGTTGCAGAGTACGGTCTCGAGGCTCCGTGGTTTTCCAGGAGGGAGTTATCCTATACAACGTGCTTCAAGTTAGTCCGTACTTTCACCCAATGAAGCTGGGCCGTGTGGAGCGTAGTAATACCATCCCCAATTGTGCGTGTAAAAGCTAAAAATATTTAGAGTAATACTCGATTTCTCTCTTAAATTTTCACTTAGTTTTCAATTTTTTTTTCTAAACTTTTCTACTAAAAAAATTAAGGATTAAACTAATGTTTTAGCCGATTTCCTCCTTATCATTTAAATTTTTATATATTCAATATAAATTCTTATTAAATCGAAACATGTACACAACATATAAGGATAATTAAGTAATTTCATTCTTAAAAATAATTGAAAAACTAAAAAATAAAATAAAAACAAAATTTTCCGTCTTTTTCTCTATATTATTCTTTTTCTTTTAGAGTATGTACATCTTTTTTTGTTCTCTTTGACAAATAATAATATCAACAAGAGCAATTTCGAAGCAATGTATTAGTACAACAAACCTGATAGTCATGTTATCGTGTACGTTATTACTTCAGAAATAAATAGGAGGAAAAATTTAGTACAAATTGTGATGACTTGATTTGTTTTTGGATATTACGCGAGTTTGTGTGTATATATATACATATATATAAGAAACTTGAAAGGGTGTATTTAGGAATTAGGGAAATATCTGCAATGTGGAAAAAATGTATGGAAGAAAATATGTTAGGGTTTGGCAAGTGTGACATAAGCACTTGAGGAAGGATAAGATGGCGTTGTCTTCCATCTCAATCTCAAGAACTTGGTAGCTTTTGAGTCTGTATATTTGTTGGTGAACATTTTGGCCCCAACCATTTTTATGACAACCTACAAACATGGAACCCCACTTGAAAATATTTAGACAGATGTGTGGACAGGAAAGGCTACTTCTTCATTTGAGTGACTTCCTTCCTTTGAATACAATAGAGGACATGCTTCAGACATATATGTCCATAATTTCTTGACTGGAACAGATAAGGGCTCTTAGGACAGCAATAATCTTCGTTATCAAACGGGATTTAGATATGTTCATAGTACGGTTTTCTGGTTAGACTACACAGAGGCAAAACAAAATGACATCAAACTTCGTTTACTCGTTGATGAATAGACAAAGCCACATCCCTTCTTATACATCAGGCCCCATGCCAGATTTTCATAGCACCACACGTTCTTGTTTGTCAAGTAGCATTTATTCTAAATTTGTTTACAATGAAACACAAGTTATATATCCACAAATTCTTGTTTGATAGGGCATAACGTATGCCTGTTGGTCCACTTGTTTAACATCCAGTGTGCAAGCTATTGATTATTCGAGAACATGTGGATGCAGCAAAGGGTTATCCTGTGGTTAGGAACCTAATCCAAAAAAGAAATTCGTGATTAGTGATTAACAGGCATGTCTGAAGCAAAATGCCTCTTATCTAACAGACGTAAATAATTCCACTGGAACAAAATTCATGTCTAGTGGACCTTGTGTTGTTGTTATCCGGAGGAGGTGGGAAATGCTGCTTCCACACAAGATCTGTCAGAAAAATCTGTCGGAGTAGGAGTTACGTTAGGAGTTAGGTGAGCAGCAAGACAGGGCCATGTGATTTGGTATAAGCTAGTTTCCCTCATCGTTTCTCTTTGCATTGCCTCTTGACCATAATTTCATGTACCATATGATTTTTTCGCATACCCTTTCGTCTATATATACACATGATCAAGTTCACAATGGCATTAGCAACTCAAGTCTCCACCTTCCTAAGAATCAAAGCATTCTACCTTTTCCAAGTCCTTCTAATTCCTTTTCTAGTTCTTTTATCCCCTTGAGAACATAAATCCATGGGTTTCCGGTTGCCTGGAATTGTTAGCGCCAAGAGAAGTCTCGTCCGGTCTCTATCTAATTCAAAACAGACGGCTTCAAAGACCTTAGATATACCAAAAGGCTATTTTGCTGTGTATGTTGGGAGAGACAGAAGAAGCGGTTTGTGATTCCAATATCGTACTTGAATGATCCTTTGTTCCAAGATTTGTTGAGTCAAGCTGAAGAGGAATTTGGATATGATCATCCCATGGGTGGTATCACAATACCTTGCAGCGAATACACTTTCCTTCATCTCACTTCCCGCTTAAGTGCATGAGTGAACACTAAAGAAGTGAATATGCGATCCACTTTCATGTCCAAAAGGATCCTCATTTTGGAACTCACTGAGCTACGACGAAGGAGAGGCTATGGTCCATCATCCACTGAATCAACTCACATCCTGTGTTGAGGTGAAGCCATCAGTAATACTGAATCAGCCAGCTGTGATCTGAGAAGAAAGTCAGAAAATTAATGAAGCAGACAAACGACGATATAATCAACAAAACCCAACTTTCCAAAAACGATGACTCAAAACTTTTCCACAGGCGCTGTTCAGAGTATCAGACATGGGAATTTAAATTAACCCAATTGGTTTTATATTGGCTGCTCTAAGTCAATCAAATGTAAACCTGCTGCTGCTCTTGAGCAAAATATATTGGAATATGAAATAAATTTATATCTTGATCCAGTTTTTTGTCTTGATATTTTAATTATACTTCTAGCTTTGGTCTCTCAAAAAATAATTGTACAATGTAATCTGTTATATAATTAAATTATCAATAACAACAGATTTTTCTCAAGAAATGACTTTCAATTAGTTATACTTCGTACTTTATATAAATCTGTGGTGCCTCAAGTATTAGTGTTGGGCTTCAAAATTATCAGATATATGTGCTAGATAAATAATATGGGGAATTTCTACACTATTTGCCTTTTATCTGATAATTAAATCCTGTGACTGGGTAAAATGTTTTCACCAGTGTCAGTGCAACTTTTAGATAAAAAACACTGGGATTGTCGTAGAAAAATTTCTGAAATTTTCCAAATAAAGTCTTTCAAAGTTCACAACTAAATGGAAATGATAAAAACTGGAAAAACCAATTAAAGGATAAAGATTAGAAAAATGTATCAGCCCTTATAGTAGGTAATACTTAACATACAGGTCTTAATAGACTCGGAAAAATATATCTGGAAAAGTTGTATATGGCAGCAAATTGTGTTTGGATTGACAAGAGACATAAGCATTGAAGGATCACATGGCTGCGTCTTCCGTCGCAGTCTAAAAAATTTGGTAGCAGTTGAGTATATATTTGTTGGTGGACCTTGTGCCCTACCAATTTTATGACTACCTGCAAACCACAAAACGTATTTGAAATTTTAGAGATGTGTGGATAGGAAAATCCCCTTGAGACTTCATTTCAATACAGGACTTTCATACGCTTTTGTCTACGATTACTTAACAGAACCAGATTAGCATTCTTTTGATGGCATCAATCTTACAATTTCAGACGTAATACGACAAGTTAGGGGCAGTATGTACGTACTGCATATCCAATAATCACTTTACGTACGTAAAACTCTCAGCCAGCCCAGGAACATTGCCTCACCTGATTAATCAACTTTTTCCTGCAAATTGCTCTTTCAAGAGTCCGGTAGGCAATTAAATATTTCCTATTTCAGGTCTACTGATATTTAGCTTCAAATGGTGGTCGAACATTAAATCAGTACAATTTGTTGGTTACCGTCTCATGGAATCTTCTAGATTGCCGAAATAAAAGAAAACACCTCCAAAGCTTGTTGAGATCGACGGGATACTAGATGAAACAACAAACCCACATGCTAGGGGTGGATTTTGGTTTGGCCCCTTAGGGTAGAGCCATGAAGTGTGGAGTGCCATTGGTGTCTTCGTTGAGTGAGTAAATGCAATTTATTAGTAGACCTAATTAGTACTAGTCCAATTAATCGGCAGTTTGAATTGGTGGTCACGTAGACAAGTGCCGGTCTCAATCATATATGCCTCTTACCTAACCCACATGATTCTTTGGGACGGAATCACATTTGGTGGTCCTTGTTGTTTGTTATACATATGTGGTAGGGAAGAGTTCCGTGAGAAATCTCTCAGAGGATTGCGTTACATGAGAAAGATGACAAACCCCATGTGATTGCTCACACGCTAGTGTCTCCCTCATTGTTTCCCGTCTCAGTGCCTCTTCACCAATCACTATACCTACCTAAGGATCTTCTGCACTCTCTTTCGTCTATATATAATCTGAACAACACAGTTAATCTTCACCTTCCTAATAAGCTCAAACTTCCTCTGTGTTTTCCAAGTTCTTTGAAATCTTTTGCTTCTTCTTTTGCCCTCTTGAGAATATAGAGTCATGGGTTTCCTTTTGCCTCGAATTGTTACCGCCAAGAGAACTCTCATTCGCTCTCTATCTAGCTCAAACCAGACAGCTGATTCAAAGATCACGGATATACCGAAAGGCTATTTTGCAGTCTATGTCGGGGAGAGCCAGAAGAAGCGCTTTGTGATACCAATATCATATTTGAATGAGCCTTTGTTCCTGGATTTGCTGAGTCAAGCTGAAGAAGAATTTGGGTATGATCATCCAATGGGTGGTATCACAATTCCCTGCAGTGAAGACACATTCCTTCATCTTACTTCTCGCTTTAGTGTATGAGTGAACACGAACCGATCATCAAGAAAAGGCAAAGCCTCATTCCAGAACTCACTCAAGAGTCGAGCCCAAGAAGATTAAACATCGAGATTGGATGATGGAAAGGCCACAATCCATCATCCACTGAAATGACACATTGTGGGTTGAGCAGACAGAAAAATTTATCAACATGACAAATGATGATATATATCATGAACATTTGGTCCATACAACACAAGTCCAATTTTAATGCGAATAGCATCTCCAATGGAAATGTCAAAAAAAAAAAAAAATGTCAAATGTAAATTTAAAGATTTATGTGGCAATTTCAAATTTTCTTGTGCTCCAATTAATATGTTTTTTCTTAAGCAATTAATATTTGTAGGACCCAATCTTCAAAACAAATAAATAAAAACTAATTTTCATGATTTATGATTGGTGCATTACCAGGTCCCACACAATAAAACATCTAAAATGTGTTTTGAATATAAAGAGCAATATTGTAACTACAACAACTATATATATTACTTAGTAGTTAAGGAATCTGTTAGTTTGTTATATTTTTTTTTTCCCTTAGTAGTTATAGTTACAAGATACTTGTGTATAAATACTCAAAGTGTAACATTATTCTTTCATGAAATGAAATCATATTTTATCTAATACGGTATCACATGCCTTTTGGTTTCACGACTTCTCTTTCCTCGATCCCAAATCTCTCGCTTCAGTCTGCAACTTTCTTTTCTGATTTCTTCATCATTTCTTCGATTGTGATCGTGTTCTTCGATCTTCAGTCACCAATCTCTGGCAATGGCAACTTCTAGATCTCCTTTGTCCAAATTGACTTCTCTAGTTCATCCTCTTCCGACTACACCTCCAAAACATCGTCCATGCTGCATCCTTCACAAAACATCGTCCATGCTGTATCCTTCACACGTAATCGTCCATGCTGCATCCTTCATAGGTAGAACTGTTCGCTGATCATAAAATGGCACCACACTTTGAAGGCTATCATAGTACACCAATGCCAATAACTCGTGTATCTCAGACTGAACCACAAAATGAGAAAAAAATCATTACATTTATCAAACACATCCCAAGGGTATTCTAATATCCAAAATCAAGCAAAAAGGGACTAGCTTTTTTTTCTTGTTTGCCTTAATGGCATGCTAAGAAATAAAAAATCTATTCATGATCCAGCACAAGATGGTCCCCATCAAAACAATTTTAGACTTTCTATTTGGTCTTATATTCTGCCAATTGAAAAAAAAAAGAAGGAAAATCCCCAAGGACCTGTATGGCCAACATGACCAAGAAAGAGAAAAGACAAGACCCCACTCCCCACCAGTACAATAATATATAGGAAAGAAGGGGGTCTTACCTGCTGAACTGGTGTCTTTGCCAAAGCCAAACTCATTAATAGACACCGTCTGCTCCTCCTTTGACTTGTCTCAACTCTTTGCGGTAAAGTAGCATTCTTCCTCCATCCTGCCACATTGATGTGCTTACTGCCATCATTTAGCAACAAGTCTACTTCCTGTAAAAATGATCATTATAAAATGAAACTTTTCCACACCAAAATCTTTTGGTTTCTACAGAATTCACAAATCAGAATGATAAACAACAAACACTACCTCATCATGGATATTTCCGAGTCTCTGCCAACTTTCAAAACGTAGAGGATTGTAAAGTAAATCATATTTGAAGAGCTTTGCATTATGTTGTACAAATTCTTCCCCTTCCTTGGTAAGCACAAAGCCAGGCCATTTATCAGTAGCATTCATTTCCTCAGACAGGGCAAGGAAATAATACAAGTTGCAATAGACATCCAGATACGGCTCCGAGCTGCAATTATTCAATAATACAACTAGAAAGATCACTTCTAAGAATTATGAAATTTATGAATTAACCCTCAACTGAGAGAACAATTATTTTCAAATACAAATTAGGAAATCTATTTATGTATACTGGTAATGTCGTCTGTTGTTTAAGGTTTCTCGCATCCGGGAGTATAATCTTTGTTACGGTTTCAAGAAAACCATCAGACCCAGCCTCTTCTGAGAGCTTATCTTCACACAAATGAGGGTCATCTAAGAACTTATCTATTGCATTTCCAGCTAAAACATCTTCTGGTGGTTGTGGAAAATGTTTGTGTATGGCTCTGAGTACTCGTCGAACTTTAACTAATCCTGTCCTCTGCAACATACAGGCATACCAGTAGCCAAATAAATGTTGGGGAAACTAAATAGCTGTGGGTGCTACAAGGCCTTGTCATTAGGACCCTTGTGATAAATTGTAGGGGTGTGATATTCACACACCGCTTTTTACTTCTCACACACCCTTCTAATTGAAGAAGATCAAGGGACAGATATCAACAAAAGGTGTGTGAGAAGTAAAAAGGGGTGTGTGGATAGCACACCCCAAATTGTAATGATGAGGATAGGAACATGCAATGTACGGACACACATGGAATTAAAAAAAAAAGGGAGAAAGAAGGGAGGAGCTCACAGAAAAAGCCTTTGCATAAGGGAGTATGTACTGAAAAACATCAGCACACTGTTCCTTTGTCTGGTAATCACCGGGGCTAGTATTTTTGTGCACAACTAACTCATCTTCATAGGATGAATCAGATCTAATATTTAGACCATAGAAGCAGAAGAAACACCTGATCCAATGCATAATCAATTTTTAACTCAAGTTCCTCCCTTTCATCTTCAATGAGCTCATCTCCAGCTTCATTTAATTGATCACTTTCTTCGCACTGTTGAACTTGCCACCTCACCCATCTACATGTTGCTTTCCAGCTTCCAATTCCATGCTGTCCTTATCTACGGCATTCTCAAGTGAAGTGCTTTTGGAAGGTATCCCTTCAGAAGCATCCTTTCCTACAGCACTTGTATCATCTGTTCCAGTGTGCACCATTTCCAGATCAGTATCTGATTTTGATTCCTTGAGAGACACTTTGGCAGGACAATTTAGGCAAAGCTGCTCACTAGATTGAGTTTTTTCCTGGTTTGATGAGTTAACGTTAGATTTAAACTTCATATCCAAGGCCAACAGATGCTTAATTGCGAACTTAAGAAAAATTCCTTCCTCCACTTCACCACCCTTCCCGGCACAGCAAAGCCCATACTCAGCGAGTAAATCATGCATTGTCACAATTAAGTCCACCTACGACGCAAAATCCAAAAATTTAAAAAGAGGTAAAGAGAACGAAACCAAAAATATTCCTGAAAGAGTTCATTGTATGAGCAACTTGAGTTCACAAGACTCACTTGAGTTTTAACATTTATCATGGCGTTGAGGTGCTGAATCTTGCAGAATGCGATGGAAGCTTCAATGAAGCAACTTCTTTCAATTTGATCAGTATTTGCTAGATCAGAGGACTTCTTAGAGAGGAATATGCTTGCAACGTTGTACATTACTGACAAGAGCAAGCATTGCATATCACCTATGCTGCCCATCGGAATAGTGTCCTGCAAGCATAAGATATAATTACATACTGCACAAAACATGAAATTACAAAATCTCTAGACTGATCCATAAAGTTAATTCACTTTTGAAAACCTAAATCTTTGTTTAATTGGAAAAAATGTACTGAATTTTACAGTTTGAGGTAAGCATGATTGATTAGCAAAGCTATTTATACATGAATATCGATTGACTTACAGAAGCCCCAGATTGATCAATCAAGTTCTTCACTTGTGACACTCATTGAGAAATAGCCTTCACTTCCTCAGCAACCAATAAATTCCAGCACTGCTTGCTTGCAATTTCTTTGGTGTCTATGTCAGAAGCATAGCGAGTGCTTGATCCTGATTTCAATAGTAAGGATTTACAGGAATTAAGGCATTCATCAATCCCTGCTGCTGCCATAAGGATTTGCAATTTCCGCTGATGGCAATTCAAATAAACATCAACATCCATAGGCTTTGTCTTCTCACATGCTTTGATTAAAATGTCTAGTGCTGATACTTCAACAGAAGTAATTTCCTCTCCGCCTTTATCAGCTAAGCGCAAGGGTAATGCATCAGGGGGAGCATTTTTTGTTGCAAATAGAAGTGGAACAAGCAAGGACATGCACTCCATATACATTTCTTTCTCAATCATCTCACCCAAAGTCTTCTCCATCAAGAAATCAACCTTTAAAATGTTAATTTCATGGAGAATTCTATAAATGGTTAACTCTTTAACAACCTTGCAATATGGAAGGCAGATCACACATTGGGAATCATTCGGATTTTCCTTCTTCTCCAAAAGAGACAATGAAATACAGAATTCTTGGTGGGCTTTTTCCTTGTTGCCATCCAAAACAGACAACCGTCCACTTAACCAGAAAAAACGAACCCAGAAGGAACTGTTACTTGTTAAAGAACCACCTAATGATACATCCTGGCAAACAGAGGTGTTCACGGATATTCCATCAGCACCAAAGAATCTCTTAAGCCCAAAAATACATTCATCTTCCACGGCTACTGATTTGATAATTTTACAAAGATGATAAGATGCCTCAGACATGAATTCAGATAGCCTGAAAACATCGGAAGACAACGACCCAAGATCATAATAAAGTTCAGCAAGAAAAAGACAACATTCAGGGCTCCTATCCTTCCCCCAATTCCTTGTAATTCTTTCCAACTCCAAGAACTTAACAAATGTATCCTGATACAAAAGACCTCTACTTGCAGCATCCTCTAAAAGCAAATGAGCCACATAGAAAGTACCATAGTTATTTGATGTTTTTTTAATAAATCTGGACACGTCACCATATTCGGTATCCCATGGATTAGCTTGATCATGACATGAAACAGAACTATGACCAGAATCTTTGCTTCCTGATCTACCAGCAACAAAAGGTTCTAGATATTGAAGTACATCCTTGGCCTGATCCTTACCATTAGCAAATTCAATATCTTCTTTCCCCGGTTTACGGCTTCTAAGCCTTTCAAGACAAGTACTCCGCCTTTCCTGTGGTTGGAAGTCTAGAAAATTTGTTGCTTTTTCTATAACAACACCTGTTCGTTCAG